TGATCTGGAGGAGGTGGGAATGGGGGGTGGGCTGGGGGGAGGGGTGGGCGAGAGGGGGAGAACAGGGGATTCTGTGGCTATTATGTTGAACTGAATGGTGTTGTAAAATAATAATAATAATAATAATAATAATAATAATAATAATAATAATAAAACCAAAAAAATGCAAAAATGAGTATAATCCTTACTATATTAGGTTGGGTAAAAAAAAAATTCCCAGTTAAAATTAGCCTTTAGAGTCAGGTGCCTCTAAACTGAGACATTTTAGTAAGGTCGAATTGACAGAAGCAGAGCTATGGCTCTCCTGGGTAGGGATGGCAATTTCTAGACTGTAAAGGGTTGGGTTTCTTTGGTAAATACAACTATGCAAATCTGTTTACCCAGGGGAAAGAATTGTATCAAGGAACAGAAGACTAAAACGAATTCCCACAGCAGTTCTCTCCAGGAAATCTTTGCTATCTGTGGTTTCTTTTCAGTATCTATCACTTTGTTCTGCTACCGCTGACAGGATGAAATCTCCCCTTCATAACAGCAAGGCTTCTTCAGAACCGCTGACTTCAGAATACTTCATGCTGTCCTGTGAGTGATAGAACAAAACATTTTAACAAGGAGTGGATTTATTTCCTGAACTTTAGCCATTTCTCTTTGCCATATTTATCTACAGGGTTGCTGAGACTGTTCTGACTTTAATGGGTAAAAATGCACTCAAAAAAAAAAAAACCATGGTTCTTCATGAGCACAAATTTACTGCATACCATTCAGAATGTTTTTAAGTCTTAATTTTACTTTTCAACTTATGGTTCATAGTGGAAGCCACAATGAGAGAAACATATTATATAAATAATCTCTTCAATCACAGAGATAAGACTGTTTGTGTTGTTGGAAGTAGTTTCATTTGGAGGTAACACTTTTTAAGTTTCTGACTATTACACCTTTTGTTCTCAGTGAGGGGCCCCCATATCCACAAAGCCTCTTCCTCTGCTTGCCCTCTTAATTCCATAGCTGCTCTCATCTCCTTCCTTATTTGCCTACTCTGACTTTCAAGAGTTGATCTGACATATGCTTCCAATAATATCCTCTATGTAGATGACCTCCCTGTCTACCCCACTGGAAACATCTTTTCTGAACTGTAGCACTATAAAACTACCTATTGGGATGCCTCCTTGAATATCCCATAGATCTATAACTGAACTTGTCTTCTTGCCCTCATATTGTATACTCCTTCTATGTTCCATCAGTAAATGACACTTTCCTCATGTGATTTAGAAAGTAGAATTATCTTGAACTTCTCTTCTCCTCCATTTCATATAATATATAATCAGGCAATGAATCATGTAGGTTTGTTAGAACAGAATGGACATAAGAAAAGCCGGCGGAAATGTAGTACAATGAACGCTAATGTCCTCATTCTCCTCCTACATTCTCACCCCTTACACAGCTAGGAATATATTCTTCTTAAGCTTAGGGAGATGCATTTTGTTTTGGTTGAATAAAAAAGAAAAGAGATGGGTCACAGGACTCAGTGTGGAAATGGAGAGGGGTGTGGTATTCCTTTCTCAACCAATTCAAAGCACAAGCTCTAATCCTCAATGTAAAATGAAAATGCAGGGGCAGTCTCAATGGGAGTGATTATAAAATTACATTTTAGTATATTGCTTCCTTTTTTTACACTTATTTGTGTGTGTGCTCATGCACAATAGCACATGCCACATCACACATATGGAAGTCAGAGGACAACTTTGAGGCAGTTGGCTCTCCCCTTTCATCACGTGGTTCCAGGTGATCAAACTCAGGTCATCAGGCTTGTCAGCATATGCCTTTACCCACTGAGCCATTTCGCTGGTTCCTAATTATGAGATTTTTCACAGTCTGGTCTCATCATTTTGCCCCAGGACATGTATGTTTGTCTACTAAGACTTTTCCCTGTCCAATAACATTACTTCATTTGACCTTCCTTGCAGCAACTGGAAGTAGTCTTTCAAACATAGCAAAATAATTATTTCATTCTCCTGTTAATGGTGGGTTGAAATCTGTCCGTAGCTTTCAAATTATATATCCAATTTTCTATCCTACTTTTCCTACAGTACAAATCCTTTGTCTGTATCAAACCACTGGTAGTTATCTGAATGAACCCTAGTGTTGCATGCTAACATGAATCCCTCTGCCTAGAGTTAATCTCTTTCTTACACAACAAATATGGTAACATTCATTCATTCTTTAAAATTACCTAGGTATTGCCCTCTGGGGGGATCCTTCCCTGGTCCCTACAATTATTTCTATGGCCATTGTCTGAGTCCAAAGGCCTCCACCATACTTGCCCACTGTTACATCACTCACCACTATGAGACTGTAAAGTCTTTGAGGAAATACTAGTCATCTGTCTTTTATATCTTAACTGCCTGGTATATAATGCAAACAGGAAAAAAAACTTTTCTGCATAAACAATATAACATTGTTTTCATAGAAACATATTTTTCTAGCTCCAAACAAATTGATATACAAATATATTTTGTGAACTCAATCTGTTCATTCGTTTTATGGATTCTCTTCTGGGAAATTGAAAGTCACTTTGTGTACCACATGTGGATACCAGTTGTGAAACAGAATGCAATCAAATACACCAACTCCAAAATCACAAAGTTAAACTTAGCTTTTACTAATTCTGTGCCTTCTTCATAGCTTGCAATGTCTCCCGGGCATAACCAGGAATGTCAATGCATGTTATATTATTGGAGAGATGTTTCCATAATGATGAAGATATTTGGCCTTGATACAGAACGTTTGGTGTACTAACACTATTTATTGCCGGAATAGTGTTAAGATGCTCATCTCACATGGAATGATCTCAGCTGTAACTAATAGCAGAGCAAACACTATATTTTAAAACAAAAATATAGCAATATTTTAGACTCCCATCCCAAACCTATCAGGAACTGAAATGAAACTTCTTTTTTGTCCAATTGTAATTTAGTTTTAAAATGTGTTGGCAAAACATAAAGCTTTCATTAAATGCCTGCCTGGGTACAACATAACTACTTTCTAAGGACCACTTGTCCAAGTTGCTAGTGGTCAGTTGTTTAAATGAAATTGGTAGGCATATCTACATCCAAGGGACAAAGTCCTTCTTTATCTTGCTAAGAATATCCTATTTTCAGAAATAATGGATACATTTTTTTCTAAATAATTGCTGAGGGCTTTTCCTAAACATTGTGATAGAAAGACATCTGATAAATATAACCATAATAAAACCATTATGTGAGTGAATTGTATATATCCTATGCACAACTAGCTGACTCTATGATTTTAAATGCTCTCCATATTAAGACATGTGTTGTATTGTATGTGAAAATGAATCTACTCAGCTGCCAGTAGTGTGAATTGCATTGTGAGCAGCTTTTCCAATGAAAAAATACAGATAGAGTCTCTTAACCACCCACATTTTCATCAGTGACAAGTGACCTAACTAAAATCCTGCCATCATCTACAGCCATAATACAGAACTAGTGCACACAGGTACTAGCCAAAGATACAGTCTTGGTCCATCCAGCTTATAGTAACAAGAACAAGAAGAAAATGCCTGTGCTAGGTAGTTCTGACAGCTCAAACAACAGAGTTCTGGAGGCTAGGCAGTCCAAGGTCCGGACAAACTGGTGTCCCTTTTTAGAAGCTGGATTCCTGGATCCTAGCTAGCAATCTTTCACTGTGATGATGTGTGGCATCACACTGTTAACAGTATAAGAGAGCTCTCTAGGGCCCCTGAACAAAAGCACTAATCTCACACACAAGAAATTCACCTTCGTGACTTCACTATCACCCAAAGGTCCCACTCATAAAGCTCAAAAAGTCAAATTTTGCAGTCAAAATAAGCAACTCCACCTGTGCTCCATACCACAGTAATAGATAGCAGGGTCACAGTCACTGATTCTCCCAGTAATTAAGTGGATGTCCAAAGAATATCAATCATGATCTCACTTGTTTTCACTTAAATGTTAAATGCCAAAATCCTAGTCATTGAAGAATGCTCACAGTTTCTAAGAGAGGTAAACAAAATATTAAATTAGCCCAGGCTTCCTTGGTATGAACATCAGTCCTTTGATGCACATGAAATCTTGGGTGGTACCAGTCACCCGTGGACACTATGTCTTCCCTTTTCAGATGGATTTTAGATAAGTCTCCTTTTCATACTCTGCAATTTTTTACTATCATGTCCCTATGAAATGGGCCTTTTTATTTTTAGCTTTGCCCAGATTAAATTCCCTTTGATGTATATTTCAAGCATCTTCTATGACTAGCTCAGCATTATAGACCTCACTAAATCCTTATTCAAATGGCAGGCACGACACTGTCCCCTGTCTAATCACAGCAGCATCCTCTAACAGAAGCTATTCCAAGGCTCTTGGTAAAAAGAAAATTCGTGTTTAATCTATGAGGAGAAATTTAAAGTGGCAGGATTTTATTTCTCTAACGTATATACCTGTGCATAAAATGTAAGAAACTGCTGCTTGCGTCTGTTTTTTCCTTTTTTTTTTTCATTACAAAAGAAGTATGTAGTGCCTGCCCTGAATTATAATTATTCTGGCTTAATTTGAGCACTGTGAGACTTAGAATACAATGTCTAAGGAACTCCTAAAACTGAAGTTCAAATGAAGGGCTCAGATCTCAGACAAAGAAAATTGAGAGGTAATTAATAGGCTCGTTGTCAAAATTGCCACAGTTTTTTTTTCTTTCTACCAACAGAGGACCTTTATTTACTTAATTTGCTATTTTCAATGGAGAACTACAGAAGAAAAATCATAGAAAGTTTTACAAAAGGGATTGTATGAGTACCAAATCCCTCATTGTTGCAGTAGTATTTTACATTTTAGTATAGCTGACAATGGATTCACAGCTTAGTTATTAGAGTTTCAAAATTTTTTCTATTCTCCTATTCACATTATACATTCATATCCAAATGAAAACCACTAGTTTCATTAGGGGTTCAGATTTTACCCTGGCATTTCTCTAATGGAACAAAATTTATTCTTCAGTTAATCATTTTAAACTTAGCACTAAGATATATATTTCCATATATGTATTGATATGTGTGTATATATATTCATATTCATATACATATATATATATACATACATACATATTCCTCTGTGTGTGTGTCTGGTTTTTTAGAGCCTATAAGCAATGGTAACTAATTTCAGTTATAGGTTAATAGATGAACAGTACATACACAGCAATATATTTCAAAGCAGATATAAGAGCTCAAAGTTCAAAAATTATAAGAGTCAGGTATGGAAGAAAGCCCAACTGATTAAAGAAATTAAAATCTTCCTGAAGCAAAGAATAATTGGGATGTCTTGAAAGTTAACTTTGACTCACAGAGGCAGACAGAAAGAATATAAAATATCAGACAGATGGACAAAAAGGAAACACACTGTAACAGCTTGATTTATACAGAGAACAGTAAGTAGCAGTCTAATTTGGTTGAAATACACAGTTCAGAAGAAAAAGAAAATAGAAAAGTAAGTTAGAAAGATCTAAAGTCGATAATATCATGAGGTGCAAAAAGAGAGAATTTGTATTTTC